AAAATGCACACCGTGCTCTTGACTGAGCATAAGATTGTGGTTGTCTGCTATAATTAGTAATCTTGGCGGAGAGACAGCTTTCAGGTTACACATCAGCTCCCAAAAAATTAGTAGAGAGAAGAATAAATCTTCAGCTTGTCTCAAATTACACTGAATGTCCTAACTTTACAGAGAAATAGGAATAAGAGAGAACAAGATTTCTGACACGGAAAGAAAAAAGACATTGGAACAACTTCTTGGAGGTCATTTCAGCTCTTTATCAGAGTTATTGGGGAGATGGCACCCTCCATTTCCCCCCCAATTCAGGCACTGAAATTTCTTGCCTGTGCCCCAGAGTTCTGCCATTGCTTTTTAAAGCGACAACCTTCTCTTTACCTGGGAAGAGAGGAGTTGAGGGAAACTTCTGAGTGTTTGCTGTAAAGCCCTGGATTGGGAGAGGTATTGATTATTTTACCTAAGCTTGTCCTCTTTATTCCCACTCATTGCTCTAGGCTCTGTATGTCGTGAGCATGGGGGTAGAAAACAGGGGGTCCAAACGGGTTCATTTGCATTTTCAAACTCTCAGCTAGTATACTATAATTCTACTGTTTTTCTCTTTATAGGTTGTGAACCGTGTACTTGATTGTGTTAGCAGTGGTGGCTTTTGCGGCAATGATACCATCACACAGGCAACCTTGGTTACCCTACCACTTGGTGGCATTGGTATGATTAACCTTTTATCTCCTGTGCTATTTCTATTTCTCACCTCCATCCTTACCCTTCGCTTCCAACCTGAAAGTTCTCCCTCTTGATGATGTTTTTCATCAGACTAAAGACAAAGACATGAAAAGTCCTTTTTCTTTTTCTTTTTCTTTTTTTTACTATTTCCAGCATATTTGCAGATTAAACCAAATGCATTCACATAATAAATACCCCACTGTTTATAAACTAGATGGTCATTTATAAACAAATGAGAAGGCGGGATTTCTCCCTGTGTACATTACACTGTTCAGCAGGAGTCAGGGGAGGAGGCTCACTATTTTTAACTTTCTAAGTGGTGCTAACATGATCCAAACGTTTTCCGCAGGACAAACAGCTCTGGTTCAACAGGGCTGGTCACGCACTGCACTAAACGCAGCTTAACATGCTGTGTAAATCAGGATTATTGGATTTTGAGTGAAAACATGGTTCAGCTGAAGAGATACACAGATTTCAGTTTCAGTTTCATACATTTATTTGCAAGCTTAGGTTTTAGCAAAATTCATTTAAAATTACAGCAATCCATATCAATTCAGTCCATCCCCTTTATTTGCAAGCTTAGGTTTTAGCAAAATTCATTTAAAATTACAGCAATCCATATCAATTCAGTCCATCCCCTCTAGTATTTGCTGCACTATTTGTCAACATTTCCCTCCGTATCTTTCTTGCAGCCATTGCGAACAATGCAACTTGATTAGTTACATATTCATTTTCATCAGACAACAAAAAATAGGTTTTTTCTAGATTAGTCTGATTCAATTGATTTAGCAGAGGCATAATAAATCTAGCTCTTGGTTCTTGGTATAATCTGCAATGTAATAGATGATGAGTGAGATCTTCCACCTGTGAGGTATTCCAAATACATAAATGGTGTGTAGTTGGTAACCCTCTCTATCTTCCATCTAAATAGGCTGTTGGCATTGTTTGAAAATGAAGTTCTTTAAAAGCTTTTCTCAGGGACTGGGGTATGGATTACTGTAAGGAATATGACATTCCTTGCCATTTTTTAAGAAGATGATACCACTTGGCCAACTTAAGCCTGCATACCTGATCTCTATCCTGTCTAAAATGGTTAAAAAATAAATAGTCCCTCAATAGTGTATGATAGCTTGTGTCGTTAAACAGTTCCTGAT